CCTTGAGGGCAATAAAAACAAAGAAAAACTCGTGCCATTTGTGAAAGTGGCTACAAGAATATCATATCATATCTCTCCTCTCTCACACATGAGTCACACTGATAAAGAAAAACTGTTATGTGACTCCTTAGGTAACAAAGAGCATTCCCTAAAGTAAGAGGAAGGCACAGGCATTAAAATGTGAAAAACTAAGAAATGTTTCAATTAGCTGCCCCTGTGAGTTGTGGAGGGTTCAAGTGAGTTCTATTCCTTCATTTCATAGTGTAAATCCCTTCAAATAACTGAATTGGAGCAAGGAGCCAGATAAAAAAGGCTTGCAATTTTAATAATTCCTCTTGCAATTTCAAAAATAATACTTAGTTTATATTTTGTTGTGAACTTAATGCAGAAATGCTTCACCAGTAGAGCTTTTGCTTATTGAGATTAATAAATTTAGCATCTTTTGGAATAAGAGACCAGGATTTTACAAAGTTTTGATCACTTTCTTGACGAAGAATCCAAAACAACAGAATCTAATATGCTGAATCTATATGTGCAAAGTAAAATAAGTGTCTCAAAAAATTAAAACTCTCGATGAAAAATTTTCTTTGTAAGGGTCTTGAAGGAAGTTATCAAAAGTAGAGAAGTACTGGAGGGAAATGTTGGTGAAAGTAAATTTTTAAGCCTTTTAATTCTGATTAGAAAAGTAGGGAAAGGTCTAAAGTACCATGTAGTATTTTCATTATAAGTAACATATTCTAGGAGACTAAAGAGAAAGAAAACCACTCTACTCTATCCTATCCAATATACCAGGAAGAACTTCCAGCAGCAGCCGGTAAAGGTAAATGGAGTGTGGAAAACCAATTCACAAATTGCAGGTTTGGGAAAGAATAACACCGCTTAGAAAATGAAAGTCGATCAAGATTGGAAACATTTCACCTGTTTTCATTTAAATCTTCAATCTTTTTTCCTGCTGGTTTAGAATACAGCATAATGGGGCATTAGGGACTATGAACTCTAAATATTTCAAGACAGCCGCAGTGACATGCTCAATGTAATTTGTCGAGACTAAAAGAAAACTAGGCATTTGGATAATCTCCAAGTTAAAGCATGGTTTATAAATCTTTGAATAATTACTTCCCATTGCATTTTTTTGGTAAATGGAATATTCACTTTAATCAATTAAGACAGAAAATTTTAAAAAAGAAAATGTCATGAGACTTAAAACTGGAAAATAACTTGAAATCTTGTTAGGTTAATCCCCTGCTTTCAGTGAAATGTATGCTCATGCTAGAGAGGTAAGTACTGCAACCTCAAGGATCTGAAAAAACAGTTACTTCCTGTGTTTGTTTTTTCAGTGAATGTGTGTCAAAAGACTGTATGATCAGAAAGACTTTTCCACAGCATTCAGGGCTAAAATCCTTCATGTAGATTCCCAGCTACCTAATAAACAGTTTCTGACAAGTCAGTTAATTCTGAAAAGTCAGGACAATTGAAGAACTGAGCTACACTGCTTTAAATTCAAAGGGATATTGAAGATACCTGAAGTTTTCTAGAATAAACTATTAGCCGGGCCAGGGATAGAGTTCAGCAGCACAGTGCTTGGCTGGAAAGTACAAGGTCTTGAGTTTGATTCCCAATACCAAGAAAAAAATAGAGAGAAACTATTAGACATCAGTTATTTATTCTTCAAAAACATTGCATGCAGACGTTTGATGCAAAACTCAAGGGCTTAAAATCTGAGAAATTTTGGAATGTCAATTATTTCATCATTAACCTATTTGATTAACCCTGCACTGGTGTGGAAAATACTAATAGGATAAAATTTTGTGAGAGTTTTCAAAGATATTATGATGCCAGTATTTCAACATGAGTAATAATTACTACTAGTGAACATGTTTTACAAGACAGCTCTTGCAGTTTATCTGATTTAATCCTCATGCCGCTCTTACAAGGTATAAAAATCCCATTATAAAAAATTGTCATTATTATCTCCACTTACAGATAAGACATATGGTGGAGCCAATATCTGAACCCACACTTCCACATTCAAGGCCCTACTTTTTGTCTGTACAATGGGCTTCAAGTTCTCTTCTTAGGAACTATGGGCTATACTGTACATGCTACTACTGGCCATGGGTATTAACCAACAACATGGCTAATCAAAATTGGGTCTGTGAGTTGGAGATTACAGAATATGGCTTGGGTATCCAGAAAGGCAATAGGATTGAAAATCCTAATGCCACTTTTACGTAGTTTTTGGAAATATTAAATTTATACTGACGTACTTCAGTGGCCAGCTTTATGATTCTCAAAACAAAGAGAGAAAATGACCTCCCTTCCTTCATAAAGCCCATCAGAAGGATAGAGATACACATCAAAGCTCTCTTGGCAACCTTGAGAGACCTCCCTCCTCCCCCTGGGACACATGTTCTCTCATTTGCAAGGGTTGAGAATCTTCTATATATAGAAAACTAATATGATGACACTTACTGCGTGATTTATATGAGCCAGAAACTGCTTTAAGGATACATTCAATATTTCTAACTGATTTAAGAACTACAGTATATTAACACTATCTTTCCACACTGCTATAGCTTGTCTCTAGATTTTTCTCCAATGCCTCATGCAGAGGTGGGGCTTTTTCGAAGGCAGCTGGATCTAGAGTGTGTGATTGATTCAAGGTGCAATGGTAGGAACAAGGGCCCTAGGATTAAGGGTGTGAATGATACCCACCCTAAGTAGTAAGGTAAGACATAAGGGACAGAAAGAGCTGTGGTTGTCCCTTCCTTGTCTTGCTACATTCTAGGTGCCATGAACTATTTCTCCTCTGTGGTGCCTGTCTGCCATGTCACCCTGGTTTGGAGCCAGGCAACTATGGACTGAACCTCTACAAACTGTGAGCTAAATAAACCTTTTCCCTTTTAACTTTGGGTGTTGGGTATTTTGTCTCAGCAATGAGAAAAGTAACTAAGGCATGCACCATGATCCAAAGTGAGGTGCAGATAATTTAAGGAACTCACCCACAGTCCCCCTAAATTTGTAAGCTTGACTCTGAACTAGAAACGATGATTCCAAAGACTGCACACCTCACTCCATACTATAATCTCTCTTACTAGTCAAATGAGATAATTATAAGAAAATCATCAAAACAAATGTGAAAACAATCTTCAAAGTGATTCAAACAATGACTCAAAGAGGAAAAACTTTTTATGAATTTAGGAAATATCCAAAATGAATTGTGGTTTCTAAAGCTATACTTCTGACTTCCATTCTTTGCCTCTCTCTCTCTCTCTCCTAGTCTGTCGACACCACTCTTCCCCCATTTCTCTTCTTTGTTTTTCGTAAATTTACCTTGGTCTAAACAACTACACTAATTAGTTTTGACTGTGCCCGCCTGTCGAAGTGCCACTGTTGTTTAAATAATTCAGTCTAGTACATCTGTAATTTAGGGGATTTAATGTCTCTATTTTCATTGTTAAAAACAATTCACTACGATAACATCAGTCATTGTATCACTTTAAATTTTAAAAATATTTAAAGGCAATAGAAGTCAATGTAAAAAAAAAACTACAGCTCAATTCAGGAACATAGATGAATCTCATAAATATGATATTTAGCAAAAGAAGCCAGGTGTATAGATTTATACTATATGACTGAATTTACACAAAGTGAAAAAAATAGACAAATTGACCTAGAGTGTTATAATTCAGTACAGTAGTTACAACCCTGACCCCTGGAAGGTACAAAGGAGCTTCTGCAATTCTATTGCCATTTTGATTTTTGATCTGGCTGATGGTTACACAAATGTTTCATCCTGAGTACATTCACTGTACTTTGTACTTGTTTTGTGCATTTTATGTCATTTTTCACTACAGCAGTTTACATTAAAAGGCCATACTTTATCCAAAATTCTCGTCTGCTAATTGTGTTTTCTCATTACTTTATCTCATCCAAAAAGATACAGTTAATTTATCTGATAAAGTTAATATTTCTACACCTGATTACATAGTTACTGTTTTCCTGTTTAGGAAATATTCTATGAAATGTTTTAAAAGTTGAGTTGATTGACTAGTTTATAAATAGTTCAATTCAGACTTGATGTAATTTGTATATAATGAAATATATAGTGCTATAGTTTTTCACAAGACCTTTCCTCTGTGCAACCATCGTCCTGATGGAGATACAGGATATTCTGTTATTCTTCTAAATCCCTTCTGCTTCTCTAATCGACACCATCTCCCAACTTTCAGCTCCTGGCAAAACGCAATGATTCTCTGTCGCTCTAGCTTTGTCTTTCCCAGAATGCCATGCAAATGGAATCTTATACTATGTGTTCTTTACCGCCTGGCTTCCTGTAATTTGCACAGTGTATATGAGATCCATCCACATTATGTATAGCAGCAGTTGGTTCCTTTTCATTACTCAGTGACATCACAATGCATGCATATGCCAAGAACATTTAAGTATATTCCAGTTTGGGGTGATTATTATTAAATATTCGTGCATAGGTTTTGTATGAACATGAAAAACATATTTTGTTCTTGTTTGTAATTCCAAGCTATACTTTTAGCTGCACAAAATATTTTCTATAACCTTTATTCTGTAGTAGTACTTCTACTGAGAGAATGTATTGACTTTAAAAGAATTGAATTTGAATTATGTAAGAAATACAAACATAGAGCAATTTTTGCAAATTTTTGCAAATTTTTACCTTAAAATATTTTTGTTACTCTGTTGAGAATTAAGACTGAAAATATTCTATAATGTTCTAGGTTAATGATTCAAAATCATGCTCAAATTAAAATACTAAATTAAAAGATAAAAGGCAGCACTAATTAGAACTCTGAAATTATAATGAATGAGGAAAAACAGTTAGAATTGGTGGCTTGAAAAGCTAAGTGTTTCTGTCTCTGTCACAACTCTCATTTCTTGTAACTTGAATTCAGCAGGTTAGTATATTTGTCCATGACAGCTGGGCAAGGACTGGAGTGAGAAAATGGAAACATGGTAGATGTTACCTAGCATGTTGTGGTAAAGTGGAATGACCCGTCCATGGGTAGTAAATGCAGTCATGAATAGTGGGACCGTTACACCTGCAGGCAATTACAGAACAGAAAACATCATTCCGCATCCACAGTGCCATGCACACACATGCACCGGCGCTCACACAGGGAGCCTCGGAGGAAGGACATTGAAAGCAAGCACACCAAGTACCTATCCATCAGGCCGATGCAGTCTTCAATACTGGAGCCTATGCACCTGCAGAAGACGCAGATTAAAAAAAAATACATGGAAAGAAAAATTAGTCAGCGTGAAAGAAATCAGCACCAAAAATATTGCCAGGTTAAATTCTTAATTTCCATTACTAGAGATTTTGGACACCATGAATTTGAAGCCAGGGAGAAGATTACTGCTTGAGAGATACACAGAAATGAATAGCAATTACCAGCCAAGTGGAATGCCAAGAAACATGTCCAAGGTAAAGAAAATTTTGCACTAGCTCTGTAGCTAACATTCCCACAGAGGTCATTTCTATGAATTTCAATTCATTTGTGTCTTTCATGATTATACCTCTTGATGAATAACTTGAGAGTTCAATGACTGTAATTGTTTTCACATACATGATTTCCTCTAAAAGCCTTTAAGTAAAGACCAAAATCAATTAAAAAGAAAACATGAAGACTTCCATATAATATAATAACCTGATGGTTAATGGTCATTAAAGGTTGTTCGGGGTAGAAAATGAGTTAAAGTGCTTTAATGCCTTTACCATGAATACTTTTACATAAGCAGGTCATTTTAATCTTTCATTATGACTGTCTTTAAAACATATTTGTCTGCAAACATGAATTTATTTACACAGCAAATTACTCATTTTATCACATTACAGTTTATCTTGATGGCCTCTTAAAATAGTAGTATCATAACATGAAAGCAAAAACAGATTTTCAAACTGCCATTACATTTAGTTCAAAGAACAACAGCTATATAAAAACTCTAAGTAAATGAATAAACAGAAATGCAGATAACTAAAGAATCTACTGAGATAAATATTTAAGTAAATTTGTGTAAGTTCACATAATAACTAATAAGTTCACACTAACATATAGTCTCTACAATTTCATTTTGAGTTGTTATGGAAATATTATTTCTTCTAGCTTCTAAATTTCTAGAACTGTATTTATTTCTCCCTTTTCCATCAAAGACAAACAGCTCTAGAAAATTATTAAGATTTTTCCTGCATAGCTATTCAGCTATGGTATGTAGAATTTGATTGGTGATGCAATATACATATATTTCCAAAGCCTTCGTTTTCAAAATTGAAAGAGAAGTTGAATTTAGTCATAAATGTAATGATGTAAAAAGTGCCTATATATAAAGTTAGTCCACATTTATATCTTTAAATGACTCCATACACTAACAAACTAATACAGCTTATCTAAAATAACAGTGAAGTCACTATATCTGCTGCAGTAATATCAGTTGTAATATTCCTACTAGCTAGAGAGTTGGTTTGCTTGTATTTTTGTTTGGAAGATTCATTTCAAGTAGCAAATTTCAACTTACAGAAATATGCAAAATATACTGTCGACAAAAGTCTTTAAAAACAAGCAATAGGAAACAACTGCAGTACATACCACTGAATTGGTATCATACATAATTCATAATCAAAAGCATTTATAAAAATGAAAAATCAACTACTGAAAAATATTCTAAATTTTCTTCTCTGACTTTTTCTTATTCTACTCTGAAGAACGTTTTTCTATTACTTCTTCACAATGTCTTTTGAAGACAGTCCTGCCATATTATAAGTTTAATAGTCTACTGCATATTTCCAAGTGAGAGTCTGAAGAGCTATAGTTAGCTTGCAATCTTTACAATAACCCTTGGAAGATAAAAATATTCAATTGTGAAATTCAACTTGAAGCAAAGTGTGAATAATAAAAGCTCTTCACCCATTCAAAAAATCCATGTTACATGCCTGATAAAACAATCCTACTCTTCTATGAGAAGTGGGAAAAAGACATATTGATACTTTTCCGATTTTCATTGTGCTTATAATTTAATGAAGGAGATTGGTGCATAAGTACATGTGTATTTATAATATGGTAAGTGTAGTAAGATACAAGAGAAAGGGCTGTAGTGATATAAAAAGCGGTCTAACTCCAGAAAGTCATGTTCATCTTTCCAGAGGCATCAGAAAGTTGATGTTTGATGTATTAAGAGATGAAATTGGTATCATAGTGATGTTAGCAGGTAATGGAAAGCAGAAGCAAAATCAGAGATCTAAAGAAACTCATGTTACATATTAACATTTATAAGCAATTCCAGATAGGTACGGTGCACAATTTGAGGCAAAGGATAAAAATAAGATTATATATTAGATAGGAAGCAGATCTGAGAGATTTTTTGGTTCCTAACAAATGTAATGGAAAACCATTGTGTGGTTTTAAAGAAGTCATGAAATTGGTACATGTGTAAGGTAAATAGATCTCTTGGCCATGTGGATGTCGGTCAGGTGGAAGCCAAACTGACAGCTTTGGCATGAAGAATATTTTAGCACATATAAGAGGTGCTTGACTGAACTAGTGAAATGGTAAATGGGATTTAAGCAAAGGGACAAATTCCAGAAATGCCTTTAAAGGTATGGGGAGAAAAAAAGGAGGCTGATAGCTGACATATGATGGAAATAAAAAAGATCAAAAACTTTAGGATAAGTTATCTTCCGAACTTTAAAAATGGTACCATCAGGAAAAGAGTTCAAGAGGAGGATCATGGATCTTTGTGTATGAGACTGAGAAGAGTTTGGTGCTTTGAATTTTTGTACCCATCAATTAGTATTGGTTATTCAACATTACATAGAAATGTTCCTCAGCAGGTAGAAAGGTGATTCTGGGGCTACGAGGGAGAAGAAGGTGAAAATGTTATGATCCACTTTGAAATAGTTTATAGGATAAAGCCAAAACCACATATGTGGATAGATGGATGAAGGAAAGTACATAAAATGAGAAAAGAACAAACTGAAGATTTCAACTCAAAAAACTCCAAGAGCATGCGACATGAGATACAATTTTGTGACCACTAAATGGGAAAAAATGATTAACATTAATTGAATGCACTGTACTTTAAACCAAATCCAAAATTAACCTCAAGAAACAACAGGTGATCATTAGTATAAAGTTCAGAAGAATCTAGTAAAATAAAAAGAACTAGAATTTTATGTGTCACTATCAAGGTTTCTAGAGTTGAGTTTGCTTTAAGTGGAAAAACAAATCAGATACAGGACAGCAGTTGAAAAAGGAAAGGGAGAGGAGGGATGAGGGATCCGGATGTGGTTTCAAAACAGGTTGTTCAGGAGAATGTAGATATTCATGATTTAAACATACTTAAAAGCAGAAGATAAAAGAAACAAACTAAAGACCAAGGAAAAGGAGGGTATGAGAGAAGTGAGACAACCTTTGAAAGGTTGTCTCACTGTGTATGTAATAGTGCACACTGTATATCAATATTTTGTGCTTTCTGTATATAAGGCAGTAATTGTTATCACAGATAATGTATATTGTTTCAGAAAGACCATAAAACATTAAACTTTTGAAGAGTCAAAATGGCAAATAAGGGACTGACATAAGTCGCAGAATGTTAGTAATGAACTCAAAAATAAGTCAGTGCTCCAAAGTAGAATATTTACAGAAATGTCAGAAAAAAAAGGATACTATGTCTGACACATTCTAAAACAGTATTGGAACTCTGAATATTGAGCTATGTTCTCTTCTACTTAATGATGCACAAAGACCTTGATGTATTTATATACCATATAAATGTAGTTTAGATATTTGGGGGAAATCTTCAAATTTTGAAATAAACATAAAAGAACATTTAAAATTCTTCAATTTAAAGATTATACACTTAATGTAATGAGTAACTTTTATTGTCCTTTATCCATCGATGGGTACATTTAAATTATGTAAATTTTTAAAAATATATTCATAAAAATTAAAGCATATGTAAAATTATGTTTCTAATAGTAACAAAAATTTGAGATTTTTAAAGTGCCCTATGAAATGAACATTACCATATATGTTTAACATGCAATTTGGCTTGATATAAGAACCAAATGAAATTAACATTAAAGTAACATGGACAGCCAGGGATATAGCTCAGTGGCACAAGTGCCCGCCTGGCAAGTGTAAAGTCCTGAATACAATCCTCAGTACCAAAAAAAACCAAGAATATTTGCCAAAGTAACATGGACTCAAAGCTATGTTACTGAAGAAATTATAATCTCTGCATTTAGTTCTGTCTAATTGCATAATAAATTTAGTTTACAAGACCTCTTTTAAAATTCAGATATTGCTAGATGCAAATATGGACACCATTCCTAAATTTTAAATTCTTGCTCATCACTTCAAAATACAGTACAGAAGGTTTTGGTCTAGAATAGGAGATATAAATTGAACAAAAATTCACTGGATGTGAGTTCCTAGTAGTCGAGTTGTGTCATGTGCATTTCTAACCTTCATTGTCGCTTTCTGATGCAGAACTGGTATCCAATGTAACAAAGCTGAAGAATGAGTGAAATAAAAATATGCTGCAAAAACGTGTCCTCTAGAGGTGGCAAGAAGAGATAATGTTACTTTTTTTCTCCTCAAGGGATACTGGTAAGAATCTCCTGATGAGACTAAATGAATAATCTATTTAAAAAGTATCTGAAGAACTTATTAGAACCAATATAGTTAATGCACTTTTAGAGTAGTAAAAGTGCTTTTAAGGTATTACGTAGATAATTTTATTTTCAGAAAAATCATTACACAGTATTCAAAGCAAGGACTGTACTTCTAAAAAATGTAATTGAAAGGACTATTTCCATTAACTTGGTTCTTTGATTATCTGACATAATATTGGCATATAAAAGAAAAGCTGTTTTCCCAAGTGGAGCTGGCCCAGTGAGCTCACACTTAGTGATACTCAGTTATTACAAGTGTCTGAGCATAAAAACAGGCGCTCATTCCATCATCCCCATGGCTCCTGTGAGCTTTCTGGGGAAAGGTCATACTTCTGCACGCTCATGTTCAGCTTGAGCAAAAGGGACAGATGACCTTGCCGCTTCGGTACACACTCTCAAAGCATGGTTGGCTGTGCAGCAATACATTTCAATGGCAAACAGAAAACACATGGTTTCCACTCCTGGGGAATTCCTAAATTCCAATATGGTGCTGGAATCAAAGCATTTTATGAAGTGGGGGAACTATGAAGGCTCCTGAAAACTATGGAGGTTATTTAAAAAACAAACAAACGGAAAACATAGCAGGAAGCTAAATGAAACTACTAACATCCCTCAGGAGTAAATCAGTCATTAGAGAAGACATCTATCTTGGAAAACACTGGGCAGTTCAATAATGAAATTTGAGGAGTGCGATATTTGAATTTGGGGGATGTAACACTCAGATTCTCTCACTGTGACTCTGCAGTCAAGAGTTGCTAACACCACCTTCTCACTATTTATTTGGAGTACCCATGTGATCTGGAGAGAACTGTTCCCCATTACACCGGCATCTTCCCTTTTGCCTGAGGACCAAATTTTGTTACTATGGTAATTCGATCCCTTTCCATTGCTCCCTACTTCTCTTTCCTTCACTCTATATGTTTTCTTTACTATATAATCATGATTTAGAAGGGCAGAGAGGAAGACACGCCAGCCGCATATCCAGACTACGGCGGCTGTGGGATCTCACTTTCATTTCCCTAATGGCTTCATTGTAATTAGATTTGCAAAAACAGCAAAAGGTCTCATTTTGAATGGCAACAGCTGTTGACATCAACATTATATTGAAAAATTTACTGGTTTAATTTTAGCTGCAAAACAATAAAACCCTCTTGTGGATGATTTCAGCAGGCAAACTTTTCTCTTTCTGTTGCTGACTCCTTCTTCTGCTCCAAGCAGTACCAATTGTTTTTTTTCATGAAACAGTTTCAACTCAAGTGTGCCAAAAACTCACAAGGGGAGCAGTTTATTACTTCTACTTTCCTTGAAGCAAAGTATCTATGTGACTGTTTTATCCTCCTCAACCTCTGGGCTCATGTGTAAACCAAAGAGATAGCAGGTAGGTGTTGGAAGGTGAATTTGAATTTGCATAGCAGTATATTACTTTACCTTCTGAGGTTCTGCCACTTCACACAGTGACTTAAGCTGGTTTCTTGACCTGTAGAAAATTGTAGCAGCTTCTGCAAAATGATGTTTGCTTGGCAGAAAATGATCTTGTTTGCTCAAATTCTTCTGTAATCTGTAACAGCTATCCCTTAATCTGGCAGAGTATCTCTTTATGGACCCTCCAACAACTTGCCAGACACAGAGTACTCAAGATGATTCTCAACAGCAAGTGTGCTTACAGGTGTGCACGTGTGTGTGTGTGTGTGTGTGTGTGTGTGTGCATGCATTCATGCATGCACACGCATGCATTTGTGCCAATGCATGTTGGCTCTAAAAATGGACAAACATTTTGCGGACAGAGGGAAATAGCATAGGTGAAACTTTCTGGAGAAAGAAGAATAATCTATACTAAGATAAATTTGTTTTCTTTAAAGAAATAGTTCTTGGACTTTGCTAAATAAGTAATGTTATTTCTTATACATTCTGTGCTTTTCTTCTCTGTGAGTTATTTAACTATTCAATATGATAATCTAATTAGTATGGATTGTATAGCACAACCTTTTGAAAGATAAAATTATGCACCGATCTTTGAAAGGTCCTATACAGACAAAGACATTCTATGTTTGAGAAAAATATGCAGAAATTACTTTTATAAACTGTATTATTTTATTAAGGTACAGATCACTAAGTCCCTCCTCTACCCTCTCATCAGTCTGTACTCAGATTTTGTCAAAGTAATTCAAAATAGTATATATCAAGGAGAAATATCCTTACTTTAAGCTGACTGGGACAAGAAAGTAACAGAAAATTTGTTAAATATTTAATAAACACAAATTTCGGGGCTGGGGATTTAGCTCAGCGGCACAGCGCCTGCCTGGCAAGTACAAGGTTGTGAGTTGGATTCTCAGTACTGGAGAAAAACAAAAACAAAAAACAAAACCAAAACCAAAACCAAAAACAAAAAAACCCACAAATTTCAAAAGTGTGATTACTTTCTTTCCAGAATACACGGTAAAATTTGTAAGAATTTCCATGCTGAACCCACAGGACACTTGACATTAGTTTTACAAAGATGTCAATAGAATGGTTATAAGTAAATGTTAAACAGAAATATTTCAGAAAGTAAAACATTGATTCTCTTAAATTTCTCTTAATAACAACATATCAACTCTAAAAATGAATAGAGTTTTGTAACAATTTCCTGAATTTAGGAGATAATAACAGAGATGAAGGTGCATGTGTGTGTGACTGTCGGCCAGCAAAACATGCCAGGCTGACCTCGTGATCAGCAAGGACGCTTACCCTTGGGTGCAGTTGGGGTGGCAGGGACGGCACTCCCGGTCCTGGTCTGCATACTTGAAGATGAAACTGTTCGCCCCCTGTAAACCATCTGGACACTTTTCCACACAGTTTGGGCCGTCCTTAAAATGAGAGCACTTTGTGCAGTTGTCAGGTCCCTGAAATGAGAGAAAGATTGAGGAAAAAGTGTGGATTTTCTTTCCTCTGAAAGTATCCATGTATTCAGTTACTGAGACTTTAGTGGGTGGCAAAGAAATTGTCCCCTAGGGAGAACACTTTCAGCAATAAAAATGTGGAGTTATCTACTGTAGTAAAATTAGCAGTTTTTAAACCCTGGATGTGTGTGAAATATGTTCTTGGAATGTTTTCCTTTTTGAAATCAGCAGCTCTCTGCTCAACTGATTTCCATATCATGCCTCTAGTGTAAATTAATGTTCAATAACTTTATCGAAAGCGGTCATTATCATCTTGTTACTCATGCATGGTGATAGGATGGTGGAACAATATTTGGTATTTACACATTTTTCCATGGAAAGTGCTTTATTTCCACCATTGGGAATAGGGAATACTCTTACTAAGTAGTTAATGAAAAATAGATACAACAGAAATTAGACAACACTATTTTATATAAGTGGAGTATAAATTTTATGTTGGTTATACAATGGCTTTCATTGAAAAATAGATTTTAAAACTTACCATGATGAATTGTTAGGAGTTAGGCAGTTTAGGTATATAAAAGTAATTCCTAGGTAATTCTTTAATTCAAATAAGCTTGTACTAGTGCCAAAATCTTATCATGTCTATTTATATGAATTTTAATAAGCCACAGAACACTGTTGAGTTTCACAAATGCACTTTCTGATAAGTAAATGTCAAAACTTTCAGAATGATAAGCGTATATGGAGAACTATACCGATGATGAAGACTATATAAATATGAGCATGAAAAATTTAAAGATATTCACTCACTTTATATATTTATGTCTATAATATACATTAATATTTTAATATACATAAAGTTAATAAGCAATAATGACAAGCAATTCTATTTAAAAACATCAACAACAATAATATTTAAAAACTAATGTTAAATACCTAAAAATTTTACAAAATGAAAATTCTTTGTATTTGGCACACCCAAGAAATGATGAGTAGTATATCCTTGGATTAAAGAAATGGAGAATATTTTTATCCAACTGCCGCTTTACTTAAGAAGAGCTCACATTTTTATACCTTCACCTCTTTTAAAAGAGAGAATTCTTTTTCAACACCACACTGTCTCAAGATTTTAAAACAATACAAACTCTCTCATCATTTTTCCCTGATCTTCTTGCCCTGACCGGTTCTCCCATCATCTATGTCTACAGCGTTCATCAATTTCACCAGTTCATACTGAAGATAAACAGGACATAAGAAAAATATAGAGAAATACATATATTAGGTTTGGTATTTAAAAACACTGACTTTGGAAGCTGACTGTAATACAACCTGCAGAACTGCTTAACAGGTAGGGGATGTAAAGATCAGGTCAATTCTTAGGAATGATTTCTACACAAATCAGTGAGAAACTATAAGTTGGTGATACCCAGCACTAGGAAAGTAAGATTTAAACTGTTTTAAAAGGGAAAAATGGAGGTTGCTAATTAAAAATAGTGGTATAAAGAAGAAGAGGTAATAAGCAAGAGGCTTAAAAAATCCTGAGACTGCTTGAGGTATAATCACCCAGCTGTTTATATTAGTATTCTGATGTAACACTCAGACCTAAAAAAAAAAAAAAAAAAAAAAAAATAGCATATGAAATCTAATCCCTACTGTACCTGAAGAGTTCACTGATGGTATCTTTTTATTTTCTCTCAAAGAAGAATTCCTCACATGCTTCCAATTCTAACACCTGCTCATGGGTACTTAGGCACGTAGTACCATCTATTTCACAGAAATCATTTACTGTGCAAGTATGTGGAGTAGCATGACTTACTGCATGAGAGAGAGGCTTCTTGCAGAACACAGAACAAAGCTTACTCTAAGTAAATTAGGCAGCTAGAGTCTGAATTAAGAATTATTTTGCTATTAAATCCTTGTAAAAAATTTCTAGACAAAATTAGAAAATGTATAAAAGCCTGTAAAACCAAATATATTTAAAGTTAAGTATATTTTACTGTAATAAGTCATTTTTATTTTTATTTTTAAGCATCTCAACTGTTTGCTTTTTAAATCATGATACAAAGTCAAACATCCTAATCATATCCTAAAAAGCATCCAGGCAAACCTCTAAATAAATGAAATGTATTGATTTCCCATTTCATTTCCATAAAAAAACACTTAAAAATCTGTGTGTGTCTAAGATTTACTCTTTTATCAAATATTTCCAAAGCATTTAGGAAGGTAGATGTAGTAATGCTATGATCAATGTAATAATAGAAAATGAAGTGAAACTGCTCATCCTGGCATATGCTAGTAACCCCTATTGAGGCACGAGGATCACTAGTTCAAACCCAACCTTGGCAACTTTGCGAATTGCCAAGACCCTGTCTCAAAATAAAAAGAAAAAAAAAAAACTGAAATGTAACAAATGCTACAAGTTCAGTATCTATCAGTGAAAAATAAGGGAGAAAGACATACAGAAAGAGAGACCGACAGAGTGACTGATTGGGAGAGAGAGTGTTATGATTTCAATGTATTCTGAAATGCTAAGACCTCATAGAGAGAGGGGAACTTTTGAACATTTCCAAGGGTTTCAGTGTATCCTACATGAAAGAGACAAAAACATCTTTTTCGGAGAGCTATTGCAATATGAGGGTTATTTGTTATGTCAGCACAACATTTTTTTGTACCTAATTTGAACAATTATTTGAGCCTTTGTGAAAGCGTATTCTAAAAATCAGTCCCTGTACCCTGTCTCTTCTTTGATTCCTCCTTTTTAAGTGTATTTTTACTTTTAATTTATTTATTTATTTTTGTGTTTTTGAGGCAGGGTCTTGTTATGCAGTTCAGGCTGGCCTTGAGCTCACTTTGTAGCCCAGGCTGGTCTTGAACTTGCAATGATCCTCCTACCTCAGCCTCCCGAGTGCTGGGATTACAGGCATGCGCCAGCCACCACACCTGGCTTCGAGTATATTTTTGTTCTGTAACTTCTGTTTCCCTTACTTCCCTTTCCTCCCACATTCCTTTCTTTACTTTTCTCATTAAGAATGTACAGGAATCAGTAACACAGAATGGGTAAAATTGTAGAAATAAAATAACAATTGAATTGAAGGGACTAAGCACAAATAGATAAGGATAAAAATGAAAAGGCCTTCTTTTATTTCAAACCTATTTTTCTCAAGATTATTCTAGACCTCTGCCATATTTAAATAGGATAATATGATTCCTTTTGACATACAGCTGTCACATTCCCAGAAAGCACTTTATCCTTAGCACACTAAAGATATTGGTGCCTAGGGATAAAAGTGAAATTGTAAGTATAAGAAACTCAGATTCAGAACTTCCACACTCTAACAATAGCTCCATATCCTATGATTTACTGATTGTTTTAGAATCACTTTCTAATCATTACACATAAAATTTCTTTATATGTTAAATGGGAAAATTTATAGCATGTTTCAGAGTTAACTACTTGGTAAGCATAAACAGACATCAGGTCTTGTAATTATGGAAACACTGACAAGTTAAAGAAATATAATTCGAACAAAACAAACCATAAGAACAAGAGAGGGATCTCCACTTAGTTTTGATGACTTCTCTATTTTTTCACAGTGTCTTTCTCTTGGAGAAGCTTCCAGAAATTCTTGGGTCTTCTAAGTGATGTATGCCTGCGACTTGGCATACTATACTGTCTCCGTCCCAATTGAGACAATCAACATGTGGACCCAGAAAAAATCAAAAACCTTTTTCTGGAAGCTGAAAGCAAGCAACTCCCCAGTGGGAGCAAAATTTGGGCCATTATTTGAGCGCAGCCATGGCGGCTTTTCTAAAGGATGTTGCTTTCTGACCTGTTTAGCATTTCAAGGCTCACTGATCACTTATTTAGGTTTCCTTGATTCTGTGCTCTTGCTCCCCTCAGCTGCCCAATCTAGCTGCACTGAACTTTTCCATCCTTTTGATGCACTATCTTCCCAACCTCTGGACATTTCAGTCCGCAATTTTAGTACTGAGAGTAATCTTCATTATTTTGGCCCAACCAATACTGCATTATAAAACAAAACTGTGTCCAAAACTTAGTTTCCACTTCCTCTTAACTGTCAAACACTTTGAAAAGTGCCAGAGGATGATAGCAAATTTTTGGTTTTCTAATGTTTATTTTTTTATAAACTGCCTCAACTCCTTCTATGAATAAATTAATAAGCAAATCAACTGCAAAAATATATAAATTAGAACAAGCTAATTCTGTGAAACTGGTCCATTAGTATAATTTTGTACAAGAAGCAGCACGAGGAATGGAAAGATCACGGGATGAACAGCAAGGATCCTAGGACCGGATGCTGGATTATGCTTTCATAACGAACAATTCATTTTGCAGTTCAGAGATTTTTTTTCTCAGACTATCCTGACAAAATGAGACAAATACACAAAGATTGTGAAAGAAAATGTATATCAAGATAGTCAGTATTAAGAACCAGCTCACAGAAAACAATTTGTGTTGTCATGAATAAGGTTTACAGTGATCATAATAATTCTGACTTTAGCAGGTAAAGCGATTACTAAACATTTTCATTCATGAAAACTAATGTAGTTGTATTGAAGAGGTTTTCTAGCCACTGTTAAATTCTCTTATGGTGGATGTTCTTCATGAAATTATTCTTAAAAATGGTGTATTAATGAATATATTTAAATTAGTCACAAGCAGATTAGTTTTCTATATAGAATGATTAACTGAGCTAAAAGTATTAATATGTAGAAATATTTCACTTTCTTGAAAAATATTAATTAAAAGGAAGATAAAAATATCCTAATGAATTGATTTTCAATATGCAGAATGGAATAGATAAAAAAGACTAATTTGAGAAAATAAAATACATAATGGATACCTCTGTAGTGAGTTTTGATAGATATTTTTGAACATCAAATTTTCATTCTGTTGCTACATAAAACTCAGCAATAAGGAAGCTAATGGAGCCTGATTGAAAGTACGTGCTAAACAATATTTGTTGAGTAAAAGGTTTAGATGTTTTCTAATCATTTGTTCAAAATAAAAGGGAAAAGGAAAGGCAAAAATTATTATGTGCCAAGAAAACCACCAAGGTAGATAACAGTAATAAAAAATCCATGGGAAATATCAATGTAGAGTAGCACCTATAAGAATTCAAAAAATTAAATTTTAGGAAATTTTTGGCAGTTGGTCCAAAGATTTTTAAACATTTCTATAAACCTATGCCTAATATACACTAACAGGATTTAGAAACATATGATTCTCAGCTTTGTTTAAAGAGGATGAAATTCTTGATTACATTAATTGCTTATTTTTAAAGTTTCAGTCTCTGGAGGAGATCTTTCTTATTCTGTGAATTACGGTCAAAAGTTCCCTAACACGTTACTTTTATAGGAACTCACATTTCTATTTCAATTTGCTTTATCATCCAATTACAGAAATTTACTCCCTTGTTCCTGACACTCCTCTCTATGAATTCACGTTTCTGCTGTTTCAGATAATTGCACTTTCTGCTCCTATTCATAATGAAGAAAGAGAATAGCTGCATGAACCCTTCTGTACTTACTTGGGATTATTATATGTTAAAGAGCCTTTAGACTTTGATTCTTTAGGGCAAATACCATGATTTTCTTTTTCTCAGAGTTCTGATTTTCCACAACTATCCTATGCTTGTTGGAACTTCCCAGGTACCCCACATCCTTCTTTAGATGACATTCCAGAACAGCTCAGTGAGGCCAAATGGAAGTTTGAAGGTCTCAGTGATATGTATTTCTACGCTAATTAACTTCTGAGTAAGCACTCTGATATAAAAATGAATTCTATCTGCATTGTGAATGAATTCTGATGGTATCATATTGAGTTTCTGGTTGTACCCAAATGTTGGTCCCCGCATTTTCTATTGAGAAATGATTCAGTAACTGATGAACTGAAAACTTTTCTAAAGAAGGATGAGTATTGTACTGTGGAATAACACACCAATATTGATCTTATTAGTAAAGAAAAGCCCAGGTGATAGAATCACACAAAAATATGTGTAAATTTTCTCTCTAAAGATAACTTCAAATTATATAATTGGCTACTCCTTCATGAATGCTTTTCTGGGTCTACTGGTTCTTGGATTTTCATAGCTCAGTTCTTCTATCTGCAATAAGATTATATTGCTTTAGAGTTTTGCCTATGAATACTTATCTTCCTCCTCTCTTCTATCCTTCACATTTCCCGAATAGGAAGCAGTTAATGCAGATAAGAATGTGTTCATTTTCCCCAAATACAACATGAATTTTCACATTTCTATTTCTATTTTTTTTCTTGGTGCCAGAAATCGAACTCAGGACCTTATACTTTCCAGGCAGGTGCTTGTTCCACTGAGCTATGTTCCCAGCCCTATCACATTTGTACTTCTAAATATTTCTTCTTTCCAAATTCTTCGAAGCATACCTCAACCACTAGTTCCCTGTCACTTCCTTTCTTGTCCCCAACATCAGTTCCAGAGAGTTAGTCACTCCCTCTTTTGCCTTCCTGTAACAACTTACACACATTTTTTATCCTTCAACCTAATTAATTTTACAACGTGCTGTCACCCAAGAGAACTTCGTGTCTTATACTTCTGTATAAATATACCATTTGGGAAATAAATATTTGTGACTTTGAATTTTCAAATATTCTATCTCTACCAAACTTCAAGCCTCTGAAGGTTCGAATATTAAACATATTTTCCAACAGCACCCTATGAATACCTGCTAGAAGGAGTATATCTAATAAGCTAGTGATATGACAACATCCCACATGCAACTAAATGAGGTGCCACGCCCACAGACGTCTCCAGGCTTACCGGCCCATGGCACGTGAGGAGCCCCTCTTCCATCTTCTCACACTGGGAGTCACACTCCACGCAGATAGAGCCATTCTCGAACTCCCGAAACTCACTGTGAAAATATCAGCTGTGTGAGGAGGTGTAAGCAAACAAGCTGTCAATTTAACAAATGAAGGAACATCTGCTGAAAGTCCTATTGGCAGAGTAAATTCTTGAGTTTGTTTCTGTATGTGCCAGGAGCACCAGAAACATTTCCCTGTACATTAAGGAGTAAGTTTTCCATTAGGAGAAAAGATAAATGGCAGCCAGATGGCTCTCCCTGCCCTCCCCTGGAATCGACGACAGATTCATTCTGGAAACATCTCTCCTGTGAGATATTCTGGCCCTCTTTAAAAAAAAAATTGTGACTCTTTTGATGATACAGCAGAATCATTTTACCTTTAGAATAAGACTATATCTGTTTGTCTGTATTTTACTATTTGCTGAAGCTTTAATTTCTAAACTCTGAAAGTGCAATTGTATTTTTCTTGTTGCTAAGCTACATGAATGTTCCCTATCCTTGTCCTTCAAATCCCAAGACTCTTCAATTTATTTTTGGTGGAACTTCAAAAAACACTTTGATTTCTTTTCTTCTTTTAAAATACCTGCCTTGGAGAATTAGAAAAAAAAATATCTTTTTACAGTAGATTTTATTTTCTTATATTATTGATCTAGTATCATAACATTTTTTTCAGTCTAAATTCTTTTTGAAGTGATTCTATAGTTTATAAAGCTAAAAAAATTGATGGCTGCATCCTAAAGCTGTCTAACACAAATTTCCTAGGATGATGGTCATTCCTTTCCTCATCCTTATGTTTGTTTGGTCTGTGTTTTACAGTGTTATCAATACCAAACATTTTTAGTCAAAGTCTACTTCACATTTTTTGTTTCAATAACTGGATATAAATCATTTGCAAAATATTTAATCCACTTCATTTCCACTAATATATAAGAGGCTGAATACTGTGTAAAGACAATATAGAATATCATATAGGAGTCATTAAGAAAATTGGACTCCATAGTTATAATTTTACTTAATTTATTAATTTATGCCTTTGTATTCTGTACTACCTTTCCAAATCAATAGCATTATAAACAGAGCAATTATGGACTAATTATATGATAAAATCAGACATATTTGCCCTAGAGTGAAAAGTTTGTTTTTTTTCTCATTTGAAGACAAAAAGTCTTAGTTAAGATGGAAGTCCAGAAGGTAATGTATGTTTTCAATTAGTTCAATTAAGGCTATACTTATTCCAAGGCTTTCAAATTAAATAGCACATAGTTACATGACTTTTACATTTTTAATGTGAGCTATTAGCTATTATAGAGCAAACCTTTTAGGAATTCTCTTAAGTTTAAAATCTTCACAAGAAAAACAGGTTTTCCTTTGTTTGCTACATTCACATAAGTGATATAAAGTGCTCTGTGGCATGTTCTCAGAAGATAAAGGCACAAAGACTTGGTCTGAGGGTATAGTGAAATTGTAAAGAGAATTAAAAAACCATGATTTTTTTGTTGTTGTTTTGTTTTTTTTTTTTCCGGTACCTGGAATCGAACTCACAACTTTGCACTTGCCAGGTGAGCGCTGTGCCGCTGAGTTAAATCTCCAACCTCAAAAACCATGATTTTAATCAAATTTTATAACAGCAGTCTGGGATCATCAGCTAATTACTGGTTTGGATTTGTAGGTTCTTTGGCCGTTAATGAGTTATACTAGCAAAAGAAGGCCATAATATTATGGTTACTAAAACATAGGTTATGCTTTTCTTCCTCTTTCAAAGCCCACTTCTCCATCCATGCAGTTGAGGAGTAAACACACGCTGTGAAAATATGGACGTCATCTGTTACCTTCCACAGATTTTGATGACATAACTGCTTGTTCTCTTTCTTCTTTTGTAAAAGTTCCTCCTTGCTGTTTTCCTCACATCTTCTGCCATTTATTCTCACTGTCTCCATCACTGCTTTTTTATTTCCCTGTCCCTAATGACACCACTGTGACCTTGTCAGGGTTCTCCTTTCATTTGAACGTGATCCAGCAAAGGATGTTCTTTTGGGCATCAGCTTTGCATACTAACTTTTGTTTCGCTGGTTTTTGCTGTGGTATGTATGTTAGATTACCCAGTTCAGTAATCAAGAGTGAATACTGCGGTATCTAGCTATCCCAGATTTTAAATTCTAGCAACACTTATATTTATACACCTTTAATTCTTTTTTTTTTTTTTTTTTTTTTTGGTTTTTCTCCGTTACCAGGAACCGAACTCACGACCTTGCGCTTGCCAGAGCAGGCGCTTTTGCCGCTGAGCTAAATCCCCAGCCCCACCTTTAATTCTTTAACTTCTCTGAGCCTCAGTTTTCTAAATATACTCAGTAAGAAAGGAAAATAATATTGTATTGAGAGGTTGTGATTCTTAGATATGAAAATGCTTGTAAAGATTTTAGTCTAGGGTACTCCTTGATGTTTTGGTGTTGATCTTAAAGCTTCAGAAGTGTTCCCAGGTAGAAAAAATTTTAAAGTTTCCCTGAACCACTTCCTCACTGCAAGAGATCCATCCCCTTGTTCCCTTCTATCCATCCTTTAATATTCTCTTTATGTGTACTTTGTCTCATTCAGATGAGAGATACCATATAGTATTTAAACATGTTTGTCTGGTTCATTTCACTCAATGTTATATTTTCCAGGTGGATCCATTTTCCTACTAATGTCTCACATTTGTCATTCTTTATCGCTGAGTAGTATTCCACTATATGTAGACAGCACATTCTCTTCCTCCAGTCATCTGTTGATGGGTATACAGGCTGCTTCCAAGATTTAGCTGTTATGAATGGTGCTGCTATGAACACTGGCATGCATGTCTTACTGGAGTATAACTTAAACCCTCTGGGGAAAATATCAAGAGGGGAATGGCTGGGTCATCTGAATTTTCTAATTTCATCTCTTTCAGAAGTCTCTGTTCTGATTACCATAATGGTTGTACTTGTTTGCATTCCAACCAACAATGCAGAAGGGTTTCTTTTTCACCACAGCCTCACCAGAATTTGTTATTCTTTGATTTCCTAATGATTGCCATTCTTTCTGGAGTAAGAGGGAATCTTAGTGTTGTTTTAATCAGCATTTCTCTAATGATCAGAGATGTTAAACATTTTTTCATATATTTGTTGACCATTTGTACTTCTTCCTCTGAGAAGTGTCTCTTCATTTCTTTAATAAACTTGTAATGTAACAGATAGTGGAACAAAAGTCTATTATGATTTATTTTAATGACATCAATTGCTGCACATGCAGACAATTTGATTTGAGGTATTTTACACAGAAAACATCCTTTCATAATGTGAGTAATCATCAGAACAATTCAATGAGACAAGTAGCACGCATTTTCTGTTCAGTGTTAACTATACAAGCTGACTTCCATATAAAAGTACAAGAGAAAATAGCCCTAGAAAATGATTAAATTCTTACTTATAACCATATTTATATTTAGCATTTAATTGTAATTTCCCTATCATTTCATGAAGGGAATTTATTTTGGTCATTTTTTTAAAAAAGACATATATAACTATTATTACTATAAACAGATTACTATGTTACTATAAATATATTTTATCCTGATATAAAATGGAAAACTACAATGCTATTGGGGATTATGGAAATAGATGTTAAAATGAGACAATTATTGAGGTACAAGAAGAAATAAAATAAAAATCTCTATAACTATATTTTCCAAACGTTGAAAATGCTTTCAGTTTATCAATATGAGAAAACTTGAGTCAGGGACACCCCTAAAAATGCATTACCACACTAATAAAAGGCAACCGTGATGCATAAAGTGACTTTAGGAGTATATGAAATGCCATGTAGTAAGGTGGATACTAGGTTTTATTACTGGCAATGCGATTATTGTGGTACCAGAGGGAATTTAAAGCACTTGACTTAAAATATTGCTCAAGCGATGTAGGAAGAACAATTTAAAAACCTCTAGTTTTCCTACAGGGCTAAGCAGTTGTCAGGGACGTAGACACATGGACCTGCCTGGAACACAGACAGATGCACAGCCTGAGCAGAAAGAAGGAGGAAATGGTTTAACTGTAGGTACAAAATATAAGGAAAGTGTGAAGAAAAACCCCACCTGATTACTATGACCTACGGAAGGGAAGATTACTTAAATCAATCCTCCATATCAGGAAAACTGAAATATATATCTTAAAAATTTGTTAAGGTATAAATTTCTATATTTTTTTAAGAATTATCTAAGCAAACATTTAAAATATGTACATGATGCTCTTTCTATATGGACTCATTCAATTTTATCATGGACTAATTTTAAAAAAAATTTATTGCCACTGAAAGCATTTCTATTTACTGTATCTCTGTGCAATAAGAGCTCTCCTGAAATATCCTGACCTACATGTGTGTTCTGAAATTCTGCCCATCTCTTTGTAACATTTTAAAATCTGAGCTCATCAGTGCCTCACAGCCCGTGAGGGAACGGTGGCCATCTCAGAAGCCTTACCCGTCATACAGGTTGCAAGACTCTATGCAGATCCGTCCTCTGCTGAAGCGGCGGCAGGACAGGCACTGGTCCGGCCCAGGTCCCCAACAGCCATCGCTAGAACACAGGTGGTTACACACCATTCCTTCTGCAGCTGCAAAACACACCAGAATCAGGGCAAGTGAAACAGAGGATGTGTCAAAACTTACACTCTTTCTAAGGAAAGCTAAATAGCTTAAAATAAATGTGTTTAGAAGAGACTTGTGGTTTTCTCTCCAGTTACCATGTCCCAACCCAACTCCAACCTCCTCCATATTGCAGAGCTCTAGTTACTCAACATGTACATAATGCGGCATTTTTCATAACACTGAGCAAAATCCAATCGTCTATGGAAACTCCAGGGAAGAGAGGTGATCGAATTAAACTTCAGAGATAAAAGCCCATCTATGCCTTTGCCAAGCCAACATTTTGTCCCAAATAATTAAAATACCAAATGCTTTGGATTGGATTCCATCTGAGAGCTTCGTAAGGAAACAGAAGAAATAATGTTATCATTAAACAAATAAAAATCATACAAATTAAAAATGAAGAAAATATAAAAAAGGTAAGAAGAGAATAAAAGATTAGAAATAGAATATAAGATTTTGCAGGGCTCCGCTGCAGACTGACTAATCCTAGCTTGGGATTAGCCAAGTTGACACATGTAAGGAACCGTTCACTGAGGAGTAGCATAGAGATTAAAGTAGTAATAGTGCTCTGTAGTCTTATCTCTGTTTTATTGGGGCCTTCAAATAGCTACAAAGTTGGGGAACATGTTTTACAATTGCCACTGAAGTTTGTCATTTCTCTTCTTTTTCTGCAATGACCCTTAGTCAGTATATTATTATTTATATCACATAATTTCATTAAAGGGATGTGGATGCAGATGTTGAATAGCAAGTTTCAGTAAAGACTTCAAATTTTACTCAAGTATCTGCTGCTGTTGTTCAAGGCTTCTGAAGTACAGCTGCATGTGTGTGGCTTTCCTAAAATGTTAAGAAATCTCAAAATGGGGTTGGGGATTTAGCTCAGCGGCACAGTGCCTGCCTGGCAAGCCTGAGGTCGTGAGTTAGATTCCCGGTACCGGGGAAAAAAAAAAATCTCAAAATGGTAAAAGTGTTAAAAATCTTACTTCTGACTCCCCTTTGTTACCAGTTTTAATTGTTAGAGGATGTGGGATTTTATGGAAAGAGCAGTTATGAACTGGACTGGGAAGGCCTCGTCATGATAGTGTAATACAGTCAGAGAGAACATCGCAAAACCTGTGAAAGTTCACCTCCCTAACACCCTTTTGAGAGAGGAATCTGCCTGCATTTCGGATGCTGAGTAGTTTTAAAACAGTTGACAGTACTTTATATACTCTACCTGATTACACAATTATCTCTATGTATCTATCTGATTAGAAAATCCTTCTCCTAATCCGTAGCCTGGACTTTCACCCTTGTAGTAGGAAATGTTGCAGAGAAAATGTTTTAATTTTGATGATACCAAATGTATTAGTTTTTCCCTTTATGGACTGTGCTTTTGATGTTAAGTCAAATTTTCCTTCAGCTAGCCTTTGATGCCAAAAAACTCCTTCTCATTAATGTACTTATTTCCATTGTTCTGAGGTATTTAGGTCCTCACGCATGCTAGATAAGCACTCTCTCACTGGCCTATACCCCAATACCTCCTGATTTATTAAATAAAAATTTTATAGCTTTACATTTTACGTTTAAACTCATGCAAGTTTTTGTCAAAATTTGCATAAGATGTCAGAATGAGATTAAAATACAATTGTGCCCTATGCACATTTATTTGCTCCAGCACCATTTATTTTTGTTTTGTTTTGTTTTGTTCTAAGACAGGGTCTGACTACACAATGCAGGCAGGCCTTGAACTTACTATATAGCACAGGCTGGCTGGGAATTCACACTGATCCTCCCATCTCAGCCTCCCAAGGACTTGGGATTATAAGCATACGTGACCACATGTAGCTCCAGCACAATGAAGTGTTTTTCTTCCATTGAATTGTTCTGACACTTTCATCAAAAATCACTTTGGCACACTGACCAATTGTGAGTTTTCATACTAGGCCTATCAGGTGGGCATATGTGTCAACTGTGGGTTATTTCAGGATTCTCTATCCTATTTTATTGATTGATGTGTTTATCCTTGCGCAGGAACTACATCGTCTTACTAGAGATATATAGTTAGTCTCAAAATTATCTCAATTAAATGTTCTCACTTGCTTTTCTTTTTTTTTCCAAATTTGTGTCAACTAGCTAGCTTGTTTGCCATGCAATAGGGCAGGGGATTTAGCTCATCGGCACAGTGCCTGCCTAGCAAGCATGAGATACCAAGTTCAATTGCTGGTACCGACAAAAAAAAAAAAAGCAGAACCTACTATTCAATATAAATTTTATAAAACTCTTATCCACATCTCAAAAACCTGGCTGTGATTCTGATACTTATCACACTAACCATGCATATCAAGTTACAAAGAATTTTTATGCTTTGAGTCTTCTGATTCCTGAAGATAGTTCACTTCTAAATACAAGGTGTGATCTAAAAACATAGTGAACATTTAAATTAAAAGAACTTGTTACAGTGGTATATATATATATATATATACACACACACACACCCTCACTTTGAACACACTTACACCGTCAATCTTGCCACTGAAGCAGTTCTGGAAGTCCTCTTTCATGAGTGCCTTTAGCTGTAGTGTTGTGAGTCCCCTGATGGCCTGAATTGGAAATATTATATTCCACGGTCAGTTTGACTTTGGGGAAGAGCCGGAAGTTGCCAAGGTTCAAGATCTCATTACTAAGGCAGATGAGGACACACTACAGGGGTTCCTCCAACCTGCCTTTCTGTTGGATGGCACCAGCAACAACACTCAGAAGGGACTTCCTGAACTGCCACAGAAAGTGGCAAGATCGTGCTGAGTTCACGTGTTTATTTTCAGGGTTTGGGGGGGATTTTTTTGTTTTTGCTTTAGAAGTGCTTTGAAAATGTTATCAGCCAGACATGGTGACACAGGCCTGTAGTCCCACCACTCAGGAGGCTGAGGCAGGAGGATCGTTGCAAGTTTGAGACCAGCCTGGGCTACAAAGTGAGCTCAAGGCCAGCCTGAGCTGCATAGTGAGATCCTGTCTCAGAAAGAAAATAATATTTTATAAAATAATAATAATAATAATAATAATTTTTTAAAAAATAAACAAGAAAAGTTAATCTTTCTAAAAAAAGAAGATAATGTTATCAGACAGCCGTGTTCTCTGTGAACATGGGCAGTTTATTTCATCCTTTTTGATCTTTATGTCTTCTTTTCTCTTTTCCTTATTATGATTTTTAGGACTTTCAAAACTGCTGAGTGACAGTGTGTGATGACCTCCTTTCCTTGTTTCCGGTCCATTCGGAAAGCATCACATCCACATCACTAAGTACCCTGGCAGGTGCGAGGCTTTCGTCGACGACCTATATCAAGTTGAGAAATTTCCCCTCTGTTCTTGTTTTTCTAAGATTTTAAAAATACTAATGAGTGTTAAATTTTTAAATTATTTTCTGCATGAAATGATTTAATCCAGTGATATTTCCTCAGATTGCCAGTATTATATATTACACCATTTATTTTCAAGTAATTCACCAGCGTTTGGCTTTGGATATGAAGCCAAGTGACAAAGATAATTCTTTCCATATGTCAGTGAATGTTGCTCGCTGCTTCCTAAGAAGGTTTTACTACTGTATCTATCTCTGACAGACCGATGTGCCCTTCATCTTCTTTTACCCTTTCCTGCCTCCTTTTGAATTTTCCTTTTTTCTCTTTTCTCTTTGGTATTCTTGGTTTATATATAGATTCTAATCTTCCAAATCATCATATGAAGTAGTAATGATCATCTGATTTACATGTGGGCAGAGCCCAGGCCCAACAGTGCCATGTTTTAAATTACTCTTGCCTGGTTCTTTACCACCAGTGGGGATAAAAGTCCTGCTCCACACCCAACTGCTCTCACACCATTGTCTGAGGCTGCTGGAGTCTGTGCTCTCCACTCCTTTGCTAGCCAGAGTATAGCAAGACAACTTAGTCTGTGTAGGCTGTCCCTTTCCTTATTCCTTGTGTAGTGAGAACAGATGTTGCTGGAGAATCTCTGGTCTGCACTTGTGGTTGCTTTTTGCCTTGCCGCTTTCTTATGTCAAACCTGAGATTTATGCTGGAGACAACCCAGGAGACTCACCTGTGCCTGCCTTAGGTTCCATGTTCCCAAACCTGCTTGTCTCTTTCCTCTCCCTTTCACAGTCTTATGTTTATTCTATAAATTACACTCAGGGTTTTATTATATACAGAACAAGAATTCAGTGATATTTTCGAGTCAATGATTTCTTTAATGGATATGAAATTAAAATACATATCTTCTGAACCATTCAGCCATTCTAAGGTTATTTATCAAGTTTTATATTCTGACCTAAGTATATTTTTATATAATGCTTATGTAAAATTTCGTATGTGATAATCATTATCATCAGAGAAAATCCCCAAGAAGAAAACTCATACTATGAGGAAAACTCATATTATAGGTAAAACTCCTACCTACAAAGTGCAGTACAGAGCATCAGGAATCTCTGGCTCTCTGTATGTTACCTAGAAAATATAACCAATGCCCAGAACTGAGTGTTTACCAAATTCTGTCTAAGGTTTTCTTCTCCATTCTTCATTTCTTTCTTGAGGAAGTTGACCAAGTCACCAGAAACCCCATTACTCCCTATCGCAGGGTATCTCATCAAGCTTTTTGATCTACTTATTTTACCATTTCTCATCCTTTTTTTTTTTTCAGGTTTGATTATTCTCTTACTCTTGTCTCTTGTTCCGCCCTCTCCCAAAAGTAGCTGAACTTCGCAGAATGTGGAAGGGAAGAACAGCTTGGATTTTCTGTTACATATTTTGACATCAATGGGGGAGAAAGGTTTTAGGTTCACCAAGATCCTATTTACTTTTCTGCTGCTTATTGCCCTCTGTCTATGCATGTGTGCAACATCAGGGAAATTCTGAATGAAGCGACACTACCTACAGATGCGAAGCCATAATAAACAGGAAACCATAGTAACTACCATTGTCCTGTTCTGTCTAAAGCA